AAATTTATTAAAAAGTTTTTTTTTTTTTTTGATTTTTCAACAACAGCTTTTGCCTTTAAAATGTATTTGTATGAAACATATTTTCTTTTAAAAGCTTTCACTTGCAATATTTTATTTAACATGCTCGTAATTTAGTAAAAAGCTTTTTATGACAAATTTCACAAAAGTTATATTTTTCTTTGACAAAAAAGTTTTTTCATAAGAACCTTTTTTCGATAAAAACGCTTTCCATCAACAAAAAAGCTTTTAATATAAAAGCTTTTATGCAAAAAGATTTTTATATTTTTTTGGAAATTTCAACATGCTCGTAATTTAGTTTGTTAGATACATTTGTCATAAAAAGCTTTTTATGACCAATTTTACAAAAGTTATGTATATTTTTCTTTGACAAAATAGCTTTTTTCATAAGAAGCTTTTTTCGTTAAAAACTTTTTCCAGAAACAAAAAAGCTTTTAATACAAAAAGCTTTTATGCAAAAAGATTTTTATATATTTTTTTTGGAAATTTATTTAAACAAAACTACTTTTTGTAAAAAAGCTTTTCATGAAAAGCAATTTTATAAAAAAGCCTTTAACAAGAAATAATTTTGAAAGTTTTTATACAAAAAGCTTTTCATGAAAAACATTTTTAAAGCTTTTAAAATAAGTGGTTTTTATGACAAAGACTTTTAATACAAAAGCTTATACATATGTTTATTCATGTAAAAATATTTTTGAAAAAAAGAAATATTTTAATAAGAAAAAAGCTAAATTAAAGTAAACATTGCCCACGTTCCCATTGTGCACTCACACATATACATATAAATGCAGATATTACATTAATTAAACATTTCTTCAGTTATAGACCCAATTTTGTCACAAACTTATTAACGATTCTTAAGAGATTTCACTTTCAACGTAAATGGTGCATTTAACTCATTAGTTTCAATGGTGCTTTTCTAATTACATTTATGTAACATGATGTGACTTTTTTACTTAAAATTCTCTCTGAATTGCAACCATTAAAAACTAGAAGTTGTTTGTTTATTTTCTTCAACTAAGAAAAAATCCCTAGACTTCTAACTAACTGGAGTGAAGAACACAAATATGCTTCTATGTGCCTTAAATGTAATGAACCAATTGTTAGTTAATGTTGCAAAAGCTTTAAAAAACACTTTTTATTAGAGCACAAACCAAAAACTAAATAAAAATGAAAAATTTTTTTGGAAAACAATTCTTTCCTTTTTTTGTTAAGAAGCCTCTATCTGCCTGTAGTGAGGCCAGAAAATTGAAATTATTTAACAGCTTTTGGTCATTTCTATTAAATTAGCGAATAATACAAATGGAAAACGTTTTCTCTCTTTTTTTTTTAACCTGATATGGTTAAAGACAAAACCAAAAGGGATTTCCTTAAACAATCTAATGAATTCATAAAAAAAAACTAAAGCAACATTAGAAAAACGTGATGACCATGAAATTAAATGAATAAAAGAAAAATCTAAAGCGGTTTCTTTGCTTAAAATTTTTTTTTTTCTTTGTTAAAATTGCCAAAAAAAATATATATATCAATAGTAGCTTTTATTTTGTGGCTAAAAAAAATTTTAATGATGGTATTTAGCAACAGTTAGTTAAAGGTAATTTATCCTAAATATTACTTAATGATATCGAAATAAACTATTTCTTTTTTTTCTAATTCCATTAAGAATAGAAAGTATTATGATTAAGATGGCAATTTACAAAAAAGGCAAAGTTATTTCAAATATTATGGCAAGTTATTAAAATAGCAAACATTTTTGTTAATCAGGAAGTTTCTTAATATTTTTCTTTTATTTTTGGTATTAAAATGGTCAACATACTTATAAATGCTATACATTTGTTGACATTTCAAACTATTAGTCAAATCACTGGGAATCAGAGCTGCATTTTTCATAGAAATTATAAAATTTCTAATTGAATAAGGTGCTTTCAGAAATTTAAATCTACATCTGTGCTTTTTAAATGTTTAAAGCTTTGTGTTCCATATAGCGTTTCTAATTAAAAAATTGTTCTCAACTAAACGAATAAACTTGTATAGATGAAGTTTTTATGAAAAAGCTTTTTATAAACATATTTTATGCAAAAAGCTGTTTATGAAAAAGCTTCTTAAAAAAAGCTTTTCATGGAAAATAGTATAAAAAATACTTTTTTAAGGAAATAATTTAGTAAAACGCTTTTTAGAAAACAGCTTTATCGAAGGAAAAAGCTTTCTATGCTAAAGTTTTTATAAAAAAGCTCTTAGTATGAATTATTTTAATTTTAAAACCTTTTAAGCTGTTTTTTTAAGAGCTTTTAGAGACAATATCATACATATATGTATAAATGTATAAATTATTTTTCGAAAAAGCCGTTTTAGAATAAACTTTTTATTTGAAAAAAACATGAAAAGATTTAAAGCTTTTTAAGGAATAATTTTTCATGAAACATGTATTTCATAAAAGTAATAAAAAGATATGTTTTAAAAAGCTTTTAGTATAAATGGTTTTTATGGCAAAAGTTATTAGTGCAAAAGCTTTTTAGAAGGAGAACTTATATGTTTGTACATTTATGTACAATCTTCATATAAAAATTCTTTTTGGAAAGCAACTTTTAAAGAAAAGCTTTTAAGGAAAAGCTTTTTATAAAAAGTTTATAAAAAAGCTTTTTATATAACATATTGTTTTTTGGAAAAAAGCTTTTTATATAACATATTATTTTTCGAAAATAGCTTTTTATGAAAAAAGAAGAATTTTAAAGAAAAAGTTTTTAACAAGAAGTATTTTTGAAGAAAGCTTTTATACAAAAAGTTTCTCTTTTTATACTGTTTTTGTAAAGAAAGCTTTTAAGAATAAGCTTTTTGAGAAGAGAGTTTAAAGGGAAAAAGCTTCTTATAGAAAGAATTGTATAAAAAAAGTTTTTAACAAGAAGTATTTTTGAAGAAAGTTTTCGCACAAAAAGCCTTTTATGAAAAACGTTTTATATTATTACAAATAGTTTTTATAAAGAAAGCTTTTATTATTAAAACCTTGTGAGAAAAGATCTTATATGTATATCAAAAAAAAAAGCTTTTAATATTAATGGTTTTTATAAATAAAGCTCTTGATATAAAAGCTTTTTAAGAAGAGGCTTAATATGTACAAATATTAATGTAAAACATATTTTCGGAAGAAAAAGCTTTAAAAGGAAAAGCTTTGTCATCATTATAAAGTCGTTTTATGTATTAATATTATTTTGAATAAATGAAACTTTATTAAATGTAAAATTTCTATTTAATTCTGTTCCTACCATTTACATCCACCAAAGACTATTCCTATTGTTGTTGTCATAACAATAAAATTACAAATACAAACAAAAATATGATCAGCAAAAGGAATTTTTAAATAAAAAAAGAAAAAAGTGCCGCTACTATTAGAGTAATTTCTAAACCATTTAGAAAACAATACATCAAGTGCAATGGCCTTTTGGTAACCGTACTTCAGCAACAATAATAACAACAACAACATTATTGAACTTTTAAGTTTTTATGGCCCATCAAAAGTAGTCGCCGTATTTATTGTTATTTGTAGTGATGTTGCTGTTGTTTTTATTATTCTTGTTCAGTCCCAGTCGGACTGACTGACTGCCAATAACTGAAGAGGAGTATAAACATAAATCAATCAATTACAATTTTCTTTCAAAAAGCTATAATCTAAACAACAACGGCAGCAGCAGAAACAGCAGCAGTGTTAACAGTGGCATGTTGCAATATATGCGTAACAGTAGAATAATAATAACAAGTGAGCTGAGTGGCAGACAGACAGACATCAACAGCAAACAAAATTATTATACCTGAAAACTTTTAACCGGTGTTTTTTTTTTATTAATAAATAAGAATAACAACTAAAAAAGAAACAAGGACTTTATTGCTAGATGTTGTTGCATACAACGCCTGTTAGTTAGATATATAGATAAACTGGTTTCATAATAAAAAGGTGCCCGTTCTCATTGAATTTAGATAAAATACAATCACATTTTACCACGCAATAAATTGCCACATGTATTAATAATAGAAACAATATATATTTTTTTTCAAAACTGTGGTTTATTCTGGGTGCTAGTTTCTAAAGATTTCAGAAGTGTTGTTGGTTACAAGTATTTTTATGATTGCTGTGGTTTACTATTTGCTGCCACAAAACTGTTAGAGGCCTTAATACAATATACGGACTGATTACTTTAATTGTGCGAAAACAAAACGAGCTGGAACTTATGACACTCTTGACATAAAACAAAAGACTTAAGACACATGCATCAATACTTGACTGCTGGGTGTTTAGTTTTTTTTCTAACATATTTTACAATAAATTTTCTAGAAATTCATAGAAATGTTAGAATATAGCTTAGGGTCTTGATAAAATGTCTTAATCAAAATGATCTTGCTAGAAAAGTGGTTGTGTTTGAGGTTGTGGATGGTTCGATATTGGTTTAGCTTATCTTAACATTAACATCATTTTCACTCTTGTCAATTTTTGTTGCTTTCATTTGAGTTTATGTTAATTTTATTTTAGTTTATAGCTTAAAGTCTCCAATATAATATTTTATTTTATGAGAAGAGAAAAGAAAAATAAAGATTCTTCCTGCCAAACTGTGTCTAAAATAAAGATGACAAAAATTTATGGCATTATTGCCATTGAGTAGAGAGGTGTCATGCTTTAAACACAAAAACACGATTTTTCTAAGAATTTTCTATGGCTCTTGCTTTCAAAAGGTTTTTCTATTATTTTTCTTCACTTTTTTTGCTAGAATTAAAAAAAAACCTTGTCTTCTATTTTATCTCAATTTAAAGTTAAATCTGTTTAGCACTTTTTCTTTTTTTCAATTTTCTTTTAAAACTTGCACTTTTTTTTAGTTTAAGTCTATTATTTTGATTTCCTAGCTAAATGATCTAAATATTTTTCACTTTTTATTTTAAATTTAGTTGTTTTCTTTTTCACGTTCATTTAAATTGTGCATTGTGGTTATTTAACTTACCGACATGTAAATTCCGTTTCTCCTAAACACAAGTCGAAACAATCACGTCTTGATTCCACTGACACTGAACTTTTAGCATGTCCATTAAGTTTATAGTTTTGCACACGATCAACACACCAAGCACGTGCACATGGTCGTACTCCCAAACATAATTTTTGAGCATAAATTGTAAACACCGGGAATTGTGATTTGGTTAAGGCACCTGGAAAGTCAGAAAAATAAGGGAAAAAAAATGAATAATAAGAAAATATTAAAAGAATTACATAAATTTGTTAAGTATTGAAATAAATACTATCAGTATATACACTGCAAGAAAAAACTTAAGCATAAAAAAACTTAAAAACTTTTTGTCTAGTCTATAGTCTAGTCTATAGTCTAGTCTATAGTCTAGTCTATAGTCTAGTCTATAGTCTAGTCTATAGTCTATTCTATAGTCTAGTCTATAGTCTAGTCTATAGTCTAGTCTATAGTCTAGTCTATAGTCTAGTCTATAGTCTAGTCTATAGTCTAGTCTATAGTCTAGTCTATAGTCTAGTCTATAGTCTAGTCTATAGTCTAGTCTATAGTCTAGTCTATAGTCTAGTCTATAGTCTAGTCTATAGTCTAGTCTATAGTCTAGTCTATAGTCTAGTCTATAGTCTAGTCTATAGTCTAGTCTATAGTCTAGTCTATAGTCTAGTCTATAGTCTAGTCTATAGTCTAGTCTATAGTCTAGTCTATAGTCTAGTCTATAGTCTAGTCTATAGTCTAGTCTATAGTCTAGTCTATAGTCTAGTCTATAGTCTAGTCTATAGTCTAGTCTATAGTCTAGTCTATAGTCTAGTCTATAGTCTAGTCTATAGTCTAGTCTATAGTCTAGTCTATAGTCTAGTCTATAGTCTAGTCTATAGTCTAGTCTATAGTCTAGTCTATAGTCTAGTCTATAGTCTAGTCTATAGTCTAGTCTATAGTCTAGTCTATAGTCTAGTCTATAGTCTAGTCTATAGTCTAGTCTATAGTCTAGTCTATAGTCTAGTCTATAGTCTAGTCTATAGTCTAGTCTATAGTCTAGTCTATAGTCTAGTCTATAGTCTAGTCTATAGTCTAGTCTATAGTCTAGTCTATAGTCTAGTCTATAGTCTAGTCTATAGTCTAGTCTATAGTCTAGTCTATAGTCTAGTCTATAGTCTAGTCTATAGTCTAGTCTATAGTCTAGTCTATAGTCTAGTCTATAGTCTAGTCTATAGTATAGTCTATAGTCTATCTATAGTCTAGTCTATATTCTAGTCTATAGTCTAGTCTATAGTCTAGTCTATAGTCTTGTCTATAGTTTATTCTATAGTCGAGTCTATAGTTTATTTTAGAGTCTAGTCTATAGTCTCATTATTTTCCATACTTCAATTACAAGTAAATAGATTTAATGCCTTTTATAAAATGTTAATCTATTTTAATCTTTCCTGTACAGAAAACAACTTGTTAAAATCTACAAATCATTCCCATTATCATCATCATCAATTCACTTGCCAACTGATAATTATAACAAACAAAAACACTTGACACTAGGCGTTGGCAAATGAAAAATACCAGCTAATTTAGCAATTATCCATAAAAAGTCAGCAGCTTGTTAAAAGCTTAACTATGTATGAGAATAAATTTCAATTAGATTCAATTATGCCTTTAAACCTCTGAAAACACTCTTGGCAAACTACCAAAAGATTTATGGACTTCTTTTATGCCAAATCATGCAAAACATATAATTTGCAGACGCACTAAAACTTTATTTTTAAACACACACACACACACACAAAGAACCAACCTTTGAAAAACTAAAAATTAGATGAAATCTGATCATTATCATTACTAAGAAGATTAAAAATCAACGATAAAAAGATGTTGTTTAAAGTTATGATCATTTCACAATCATGTTATAATTGTAATATAAAATAACCAAAAAAGAATTACATTTATTTTTAGTTATAGTTTTACTAAAAATAACTAATAGTTGGTACAACTAGTAGTATGAAGTTTTTGTTGTTGTTTATTACTTACCTGGCAATTGATCAGCATTGGCTGAGAATAATACACATAGACCAGTTTCATAATTAACCGCCTGACATGTTTCATTACCCTGGCATGCTTCCAAACAATCTGTTAACATTAGTGTGCCAGGCAATGAATCCAATAGTTTACCAGGAGCCGAGAATACATAACTGCAATTAGAGAAATATGTAAAAAAAAGAAGAGAAATTAGAAATAAAATTACTTTTAGAAAACCGGTAAATAATTTGTAGGAGCATTAAGATAAATGCAAATGCAAATAAAAATATTAGTTTTTCTTTTTTCCTTTATTATAAAAATGATTAATGTTAGCTGTGGCATAGGAATTGTGAAAATTTTAATGGAGTTTGTTTTCAGAGTTTATTTTTAATATGGAAATAAAATTTTTTAAAAATTAATAATGAATATTTTAAGCATATTATATTATCTTTATAATTTATGATCGTAGTTAATTGGTTTATTTCAAATATACGTTCTTTTTAAAAAAAAAAATAGTTTAAATTCTCTTGGTCTTCTTCTTTAAAGTAATAATGGGAATACAATTCTAAAATTATTCGAATTTTTTTGTTCAAAATATTCGAAAAACGATTTAATATCAAAAATTTCTTTCGATATAATTGTTACGTAAAAACTTCTTTAGTTTTGGTAGCAGAATTCTTCCCAAAACTTTCGTAAAACTATTTTTTGTGAAAATTAATATAATTTTTCAACTCTATGTATGTTATTTTTGAAAAGCTTTGAAATCGAAAAGAATTTTTGTAAAAGCTTTTTACAAAAAGCTGTCTTCGAAGTAAAATCTATGTATTTTAAATAATTTTTTTTAAACTAATATATCTAAACTACCAGTATTTCTCAAAAAAACTTTGTTTAAAGAAAAAAAGCTTTCACAATAAGCTTATCTAAAAGCTTTTTAATAAAATTATTTTTCGCAAATCAATTTTTCTAACATAATTTTACTAAATGAGCTTTTTCAAAAAAAAAAAAAAAAAAATTACACGCGTTTCAAAAAACTACATGCTTTACAAGTAAAAGTTAGACTTCGTAAAGCTTTTAATTAGAACGGTGGTTTCAAAAGAGTTTGTTACACAGAAAAGTATCTTTTAGAGAAAATTATTTACAACATAAAATACATTTAATCTATCTGGATATTTACAATAATAAACTATGTTTTACAAAAAGCTTCCACAAAATGTTTTTCTAAAGCACAAAACTAGTGTTTTAATAGGAACTTTTTGTACTTTAAAATCGTTTGCATATTTCTAGAAAAAGCTTATTTAAGAAACTTGAACTTTGTCACTAAAAAATGCCTTCATAATGTTAATGCTTCTTTAGCGTTTTGGTTTTAAAGAAACTTTTACAAAATGCTTTTTCAACCTTTCGATATATCGTTAAAAATAAATCTATTTTACAAAAAAAACTTTTTAATTTCAATAAGAAGCTTCTTTAAAAAAAACATGAACTTGCTAAAGATTTTTGTTTAAAAAGCTTTTAGAAAAAAGCTTTATAAAGAGAGTTTGCAATAAAACTTTTTTATGAAATCTTTTTTACAAAAAAAAAAACTTTTTTATTTCAATAACAAGCTTCTTTAAAAAAATACCATCAACATTCTAAAGTTTTTTGTTTAAAAAGCTTTATGAAGAAAATTGTAATCAAACTTTATTTTTACCACAAATATCTTTTAAACGAAAAATTTGTCATAAACTAGCTTTTAAAACAATATAGGTAGCATATTTCTAGAAAAAGCTCTTTTCAGAACCTTATTGAACAAACTTATTTTGAGAAATCTTTGGAAATGTTGGAAATTGTGTTATATTATTTTTTTGCATAAAATGCATTAGAAAATCATTATGGAGAGAATTGCAATAAAAGTTTTTTATGTGAGCTTTTTCTACAAAAAGCTTATTTCAGAACCTTGACTATTGAACAACCTTCTTTAGATACAATATCGTTGAAAAGATTGGAAATCGTGTTATATTATTATTAAAATTCTTTTAAAAAGCTTTATGTGTCAAAAACTTAAAGGGAAGAAAATCTCTATAAAACTTTATTTTACAAAAAGTATTTTTTAAGTAAATACTTTTTTCATTCTTTTCTTCTGTGAGCTTTTTTGTATGCATGTGCATAACCCAAAAGCTTTCTAAAACATTGTCTTGATGAAAAGCTCTTTTAAGCCAAACATTTTGTATAGTAAACTACTATAGACTTAGTAAAACGTTTGATGATTGCAAAAGACTTTTCAGAAAAAAAACTTTTGCACAAAAGTTGCATATTTAAGCTTAATTTTACTATAATATCTTTATATTATAAAAGCTTATATCATATGAATCATTAAATTTTATAAACTGTATGTATGTAAGCTTTTTTTTTACTGATAACCTACTTAACTAGATAATGTATTGTAGTTTTTTATATTACCAAATCGTTAACACCTACTGATTTCTTATCCAACCTATTAAAATTATCTTATAAAGATTTTATATATAAAATTTTATAAATTAGTAATCTCATATAATAACAGTTTTCTCTATTAAAAAAATTATTCTTTATTTTCCCAATATATTATTTAATACTTGTTTTATTAGCACCTTAAGACATATTCTTTCTCATCTTTAATTTTCTAATTTTCGTTTAAATCAAGCTGCAAAAACGTTACAGTTACAACTTATTTGAACTGGTATTGAGCGCCTTAAACTCTAAATAATCAAAGCTTTATGTTATGTTATACAATACTACTTAGAATAGAATAGAATTTTTAAATTTTCCAGATTTTTTTTTTTATTTTATTTAATGTCCTACAATTTTCAATAAGACCACCATCAAATGAAGCTGATTTATAAAGAAAACTAGTATTACCTAAAAAACTGGTTCGAAATAACAAAAACAAATAATAAACAAGTAAGAAAGTATAGTCGGGCGTGGCCGACCATATGATACCCTACACCAGTTATGAATATTAAATGTGATTTATTTTTCATAATATCTCATTTATCTTCAATATTCCCTTGTTCCGATACATTTAAGCAATTTATGGATGAAAAACTAATTTTCTGAAAGAGGCTTTATATGGGGGCTAGGGGCAAATATGGACCAAGCCCGATAAAATTTTGTGAATATATTTATATTTACATAATATTTTATTGTGCTGAATTTCATCGCGATATTTGTGTTTATAAGTTAATTTGGGACATTCAAGTAATTTTCTGAAGGGGACTTTGTACGGGAGCTAGGGTCAAATGGGGCCCGATCTTCATGAAATTTGGCAGGGTTATCAAGACTTCTATAAAACTTAGTTGTGCCGTATTTTATCGATATATCTGTATATTTAACATAATTATGAGCTCAGAAGCCCTTTTCGGGCGGTTCTGTTCTATGGGGGCTAGGTGAAATAATGGACCGATTTTAACCATTTTCAATAGGCTT